CACTGTATACAGTATGTACACACACATATTACACACATATATTCTAATTTTATGACCTGCACCTGTATACCCACTTCCAAAAACTATACAGTTCTACAGACCACTCACTCTGTCACTCAACTAGTTAGACTTTAGTTACAAGTTCACCTAATGTGTGTTTTTGGTCTGAAGGAGGAAACAGGAGTACATCAAGAAAAAACCCACTTATGCAAGGGGAGAACATGTAAACTCCACACACAAAGATAGGTGGAAAATGGGGAAACAGCTCTGACAACTTTTCTTCAGGCGCTGCTTTCTAGACAGTGTGTAAAAAAAGTCAACAAAAAATTAAATCATTATCCTCTGTGGAAACTGAGGTCAGCTTCAGAAACAGTTTAAAAACAGAACAACTAGACTTTTACTCTGAAGATGAAGACGTTTCACTTCTTATCCAGTCTGGAGTGTGCCGAGTTGCCAGCTTTAATAGAACCATGCAGGAGGCACTGAAAGGACTTGGGTTCAGCTTCAGAAACTCACCAAAGTTCAGGAAGATGAGTTTGGCCTGGATGGAGGGGAAGAGTTTCACAATGATAGGGATGGAGACATAAATGAGCAGCAGAACCATCATGATCCTCTTCATCTTCCCCACCAGACCCAACCTAATGAGAAACACAACAAATACAAGAAAAACCACCAAACATCAGAATCAACATGAGGAGAATCAAACTGAACACAAAAGCACCTCCAAACCTTCATGTGTCAAGGTTTGAAAGACTTAAAGTGTTTCACTCAGGTTCAACTAATCAAATCTCTCAGCTTTTAAACCCATCATCATGTTATCTAATCCACGTTTCAGTGTGAGAGTAAAGCATCTTCCCATTAAGACAACCTCTTTGAGAGTGGAACTTTCCAAATCAAGCTGACAGTGACGTGTCCTCGTTAACGGTGAGGTTATATAAAGCTCAGCAAGTTTTTACACGGTTCTGTTTGATTGTTTGAGAGTTTCACTTGACCTGCAGGTTCTGACAGGACCCTGATAAACCAGGTTTAAATATGCAGGCGTAACTGATCCTGTGACCTCAACGGGACCTGGTTAATGAGTGTGAGAGAGTGAGAGAAAGAGAGAGAGAGAGAGAGTGAGTGAGAGAGAGAGAGAGAGAGAGAGTGAGAGAGAGTGAGTGAGTGAGTGAGTGAGTGAGTGAATGAGAGAGAGAGAGAGTGAGAGAGTGTGAGTGACTGAGTGAGTGAGAGAGTGAGAGAGAGAGTGTGAGTGAGTGAGTGAGAGAGAGAGAAAGAGAGAGCGTGAGTGAGTGAGAGAGAGAGAGAGAAAGAGAGAGCGTGAGTGAGTGAGTGAGTGAGAGAGTGAGAGAGAGAGAGAGAGTGTGTGTGTGTGAGAGAGAGAGGTTGAGTGATGAAGTGAGTGAGTGAGTGAGTGAGAGAGAGTGTGTGTGTGTGAGAGAGAGAGGTTGAGTGATGAAGTGAGTGAGTGAGTGAGTGAGAGAGAGTGTGTGTGTGTGAGAGAGAGAGAGAGAGTGAGTGAGAGAGTGAGTGAGAGAGAGAGAGAGTGTGTGTGTGAGAGAGTGAGTGAGTGAGAGTGTGTGAGAGAGTGAGAGAGTGAGTGAGAGAGAGTATGAGAGAGTGAGTGAGAGAGAGAGAGTGTGAGTGAGTGAGAGAGAGAGAGAGAGTGTGTGTGTGTGAGAGAGAGAGAGAGAGTGAGTGAGAGAGTGAGTGAGAGAGAGAGAGAGTGTGTGTGTG